CAGGCTGCGAGCGAGAGAGAGTAAATCCTCCACAAACCCTCGGCCGCTCTCGAACTGCAGCTCAAACCCCTGGCACGTTCCGTCTGCTCAGGCTGGCAAAGCCGCTAAAGCCACCCAGCCTCTCCGTCCGTCCAGCGTTAACTAACCTGTTCGCTGCTCCAATCAAAAACATTTAGAGCATGAGCCAGAGACTCTGAGGCCTGAAACAGACACACTGCTCCACCCTGAAATCCCTGTGGTCTATGTATTTGCAGCAGATTAACCCAACAGGTGTCTAATTACTGGAATCACAAAAATCCCCTTTGGAGAATGAGGGAAAAAACAAAACGGACTCCCTCTGATTTGTTGGGTTTTGAAGTGGAGTTGCTAGTTGAAGGAGCACACAGAGTTTCTGAAGGAGCTCCAGCATCTGCGAGTGTTTAAATTTGAATGGGACCAATAGGAACAAAGGGATCGTACCGGTTAAAAAGGCAGGTGCACCAACGATTAGCGGGCAGCAGCTGGTGAGGTCATACACACCAGAGCCCGGTAACGGCTGCAGCCCCTTTCTGTCCTCTGAGCTGAGAAAAGGGTTTGTTCCTCATAAAGCAAAGAGTTTCCTCGTCTCAGAAAGACAGATGAGGTTTGAAACGACTTTCCTTTGAGGAAACAGACAAAGGAAAAGATGTAAAAGGGAACACAAAACCTCACAGAAAGCTTTTTGTAAAACAAAAGATGAGCGAGTGTGAGAAGAGCCAGTGCGTCGTTTGGTGTGTGTTCACACATCCTGAGTTCGACTTAAAGCAGCACTGACATGCAGAAAGGACAGGGAGACGATTTGTGGCTCTTGGGAGGCTGCCACTGCCTCCTTTCCACATAAATCCAGGATTGGGAGTGGCAGCGCGGCTCCTCCATCACAGGATCCCTCTCCAACAGATATGTCATCATTGCCCATCCAGTCCCTGCCGCGAGTCCCAGAGCTCTGACTAACTCCAACCAATCATAATTCAATGTATGATGGAGTGACGCAGGCTCTGCAGGACTCCCATCATTCCAATCCTCTGCGGGAGGCGGAGGATTCGGCTGCAGGTGGACTGAAAGCTTTTGCTCATCAGCAGAGGTCACTTTGAGGTTTTCTTCCTTCTGTAAATGACTGCACATTTAGGAGCAATACAGCACTTTGCAGAAGTATTTATACCCCAATGTTACCGTATTTTATGTTAAAACCACAAATTCTATCAGGACTACTTGTGATAAACCAACTCAGATTATTGTGAAGCAGAAGGAGAAAACATTTCCCCCGTTATTCTGTAAAAAAAAGACTCCAGCTCTGTGATTACACACAGTGTCTGTTTCCAAGTATTGCCACAGACAGACATATTTTTCAGAGGAGATAAACAGAGCAAAATTAAACAGGATATTGTTCATCATTTAGGTTTGGACTTTGACTAGACCGTTCTAAAACATGAATATGCTTGAATCAAAATGTTGTAGTTCTGGTTGTTTGTGGCTGTTGTGTTGCTGAAAAATAAACCTTCTTTCTTTCTTCTAAAGAAAAGCATCGCCTCAGTATGATGCTGCCACTACCATCATGTAGCTCTGCCTCGCTGCTTAGAGGCAGAATATCCTTGTGGACCAAAATCATCAAATTGGAATTGCTCATAATAATAATAATAATAATAATAATAATAATAATAATAATAATAATAATAAAACAAAAGAAATAAAAGGAATCTGTTTATCTATTTAACAATAAAGTTACAACATCAGAGCTCTGAGATGTTCAGAGCTTAGGATGGAAAGGATTCAGCCCAGTGATGCGCCGCTCGCCTCTGGGAGTGTTATGGCTGCTCTCTTTAGAGCTGAGAGGTGTTTAATGGTTGATTAGCAGTCTCTGGGAGCTACCCACACACCAAAGGTACCTTCCTCTCCATTTAAAGCCTCTCAGACTAATCTGTTAACGCAATTAAAAAGCCAGAGTCCCATTAAAGATTAATCACAAAGTTTGACAGCTAACATGACTTTGATGGAGTGGTGATGCTGTGTAATCTTTCCAAGACTTAGTCGGACAGGATTTCATCCACGGCGCATAAAAATCAGGGGATCAAACGCGGAGGAGGCTGCTGTTGACTCCAGTTCAGTTTTACACATTTAAAGCATCACGTTTGATGTGATTCGCTTCCTTCTGGAGAGAACTGAGGAATCGACATGAGCTGAATATATAGACATGATTCTAGTAAAGGTGGGTTCACGTGAGCTAACATGAAAGGAATCTGTAGTTTGCATTAAATATCACTTAGCATTCAGGCTGAGTTTATCTGTTTCTTTGAAACACTGAAAGCTCTCATGATATGCAGAGGATGTTTAAGTTGTGTGACAGAGCACTACAATACCCATAAGACCTTTCTGTAGTACCAACAAACTAAAAGGGGAATCCTGACAAAGCTAGCAAAGTTAAAGCTAACTGTTCTTTAGCTGAACAGTTTAACTAACTCTGCAGGACTCTAAAGTTTTTAGATCCACTATTCAGTGGATCTATTCAGTGAATAGATCCACTATTCACTATTCAGTGAATAGATCCACTGAATAGATCAAGAACGACATCCATTCGTTGCATTTTTCTTAGACGCTTGTATTCACATTGCTCTTTTGTTCTCTGGGAAATAATTTTAGACGATAACTCCAGAAACAACCACAAAAATCAAAGCATTAACAATAGAGATTGTAATATTAATAATAAAATAATATTCAGTGAAAAGTAACCTACAAATTCCTTGATGGAGGCGGTAAAGATTGAGAAACACAGTGCTAGCCTAAAATAGCATCTCAATGCTAAATATGCAGCAGCACAGACGCCACCAACACTAATGTCCACATTTCTGAAGGCGTTCCTGACTGAAACTCTGGAAAAATGAATAAATAGAATAACACTTTGCAGAAATCTAATGATTTAACAAAAATAACAGATTAAAAACAATATTTGTTGTTGAGATTATATTTATTCAATAATCTTGCAGCAGAAGATTATGTTGTTGAAATGAAATCATTGCTTATTCTGTTGATATTGTTTTCAATGAAAATGTGATTAATAGCCATTAATTAATTACAGACCCTGCAAATAACTCAATTCAAATTTTAATTGAGTTCCACTTTTAATTATTTGTGTTAATTTTAAGACACAGATATTATTTTGTTTTTGGCCACAGGAGGAAAAAGCTTTGAAATGGATTAAATTGTTGAAGATAATCAGTCTTTCTTAGCCTCGTTCGGGTTCTGTTGTAAATTTCTTCCATTGCAAAGGTTGTTCATGTCCTCATAAAACTCGATCCGGATGATGAGTGGCTGCTAAATTAAAGACTTGATCCAATCAAGTGTCTACCTCCACTAGATTGCTGCAAAGTCAATGAATGTTGAACAGAAATGTTTGCACCTGACCTTGTTCCGTCCTTTTCTAATTGTTCTGCTTTAACGTTGACATTCAGCTGCCCACTCAGGCCGACAGCGTTTGGGATAGAGCTGTGTTTTTAAAGCTTTTGTTTGCTGCTTTTGTTTGTAAGTTAAAATGATCTTCATAAACCACAGATTAGTTCTGTCGAACAGATCTTCTTTCAGGAAGCTTTTCATATCGGTCTGACTTTGGTTTGTGTCTCAGTCAGCTGCAGGACGGCATCATAAGTGGCTTCCTGTTCTGTTCTCACCGCTGCGGCTTGCAGCCCATCCTGCAGGCCTCGTAATGAGGCTAAGAGGTTTATCTGCAGTCAGGTCTCTCAGGCCCTGCTCAGATAGAGGACTCGGTGCTGACCCGGACCGGAGAGGCTCTCCAGACCTTCAGCTGCTGTTTTTCATCCCTCGTTCACTTCCTGCCTCCTCCAACAATTGTCTCACTGTTTTTAAGGTCTCGTTTGTGTGCTGCATCATCATTTCCCTGAGTCCAACAAATACGCATGTTGTAGATAATCTGATCCCACCCAAACTATTACAGACCAAACAGGCGGCTCAGTCAGGCTAATTTTACCACCGCCAGGCTCAGGGGAGGCTATTAAAGGCGTGTTATTTAAAGCAGCTACATCTAGAAAGTGTAAGCAGCCTCTGGGCAGCTTATCAGACAAATTAGACACAGAGAAAGCCGGCAGTTATAAACGGCTCTCAGCAGGGAGATCCGGGATAGGAAGTGAAGAAACTGAACTTGTTTGGATGTCTCAGACTCTTCATCATCAACGATACCTTTTATTTTCCTGCTATGGCTGACAGCAGCATTAGCATGAACGTTTTCAGTTCAGGAACAGAGGTTGTTAGTTTCTGTTTCTTTAAGTACATTTTCAAAATTTTTACAGGTACAGTCAGTGACTTTTTCACAGTTTGTCCACTACAAACAGAACTTCAGTGTAATGCACTGTAAGCATCATGAAACATGGTTTTTAACATTTTCAGCAAGTAAACGATCTCAGGAGAGTTTCATGCATTTGCCTTTATGCCTTAATAAAATCCAGAGCAACCAACTGTCCTCAAAAGTTCCCTCTGTGGTTTTCCACTGCAGGAAAATGGGTCCTTTGCTTAGATAAAACTAAGCATGAAACATAGTGGTGGCAGCATCAGGCTGTGGGAATTCTGTTCAGCAGGTAAAAGGAAACTGGTCACAGTTAATGGTCGATCAATGGGGCTAAAGACAAGATGATGCTGGAAGACAACCTGTTAGATGTTGCAGCAGTGGAGGTTTTCAGAAGAGGAATGGGTAGAAACTAGTGGGAAGACCATAAAAAAACTGAAGACAAATGGACTCCACACTTTTCAGATATTCAACCCATTTTGCTTCCAGTTGACATTTATTCTCCTCTCTGGTTGTGAATGTAAAAATACGTTTGCAACAATCTGTCAAAAGGGAGAAATTCTCTGCATGCAGCTGATGTATGAAGAATGAAATCCGTGTTGATGGTGACCAGAGTGCTGCAGGCCTCAGGCAGACTGCTAATCAGCGTTTAGCTGCTGCTCTCTCACACTGTGTTCCTGTTTCTGTCCTGCAGACAGTGAGATCGTTCCTCCGGACTGTCTGCGCCCACGCTCCTTCACCACGGTGCGCTCCTCCTCCCTGCGGCGCGAGGCAGACGACTCCCGCCTCTCCGTCAGCCTGTGTGATCTCAACCTGCAGCAGGAGGACCGAGGCCCCGCCCACTCTCACCGCCACACGCTGCACCTGCTGCCCTGCTCCTCCTCCTCCACCTGCCCCATTCCCCAGAATTCCCTGAACTCGCAGCAGTCCTCCCTGCTGCCGTCAGCCCTGGAGAGCGACCTGCACTTCCACCAGCTGCGCGGCGCCCACATCAAGACGCTGGACGAGCAGACAGTGGCCCGGTCTGAGCACGCCCGGGAGGAAACGGACGCTGGTCTTCACCAACCGGCCCCTGCGCACCGGAGAGACCGTCTTTATCAAGGTCACCAAGTCCAGCCCGGTGCGCTCGGGCTCACTGTCGTACGGCGTGACCTCCTGCGACCCGGCAGTGCTGCGCCCCAGCGACCTGCCGTACAACCCTGAGGCTCTGGTGGACAGGAAGGAGTTCTGGGCCGTGTGCCGCGTGCCGACGCCTCTGCAGAGCAGCGACATCCTGGGCTTCCTGGTCAACCAGGAAGGGGAGGTCATCCTCAGCCACAACGGCACAACGTGGGGATGAGGTGTGCGTGGACAACTCGCCCCCTCTGGATGTTCTTCGGCCTGCACGGAGCTGTGACACAGCTGAGGATTCTGGGTAAGTACTAGAACTACCAACAAAGATTTTCAAGGCGGTTTACAAATGAATGAGAGTAAATGAATCAGCAGAACCAGGGATTTTCTGCATGGAGTTTGCATGTCCCTGTAATGACTGGTTCTCTCTGACTGATCAGTCAATTGATCTCTCTAAATTGCACTTCTGTGGGGTGTGTGGGTGTGTGTGGTTGTTTGTCATGAACATAAAAATATCAATATTGGTGAAAGGAAGAAAACAGTCAATAAAATTTCAGATAATGCTACAATATTAGAAGCTGTCCTGATATGATGCAGCTGGCCTCGTCTTAACCGAGTGTGTTGTTGCATTGCTGCTAATTTGATCAGTTTCTATCATAGAATCTCCGCTGATTCAGCAACAAACTGCAGAATACTGTGCAAAAACATGAACCAAGGTAGTAAGGAATTAAATATCTTTATTATATTAAGCAAACATTTGAAATGGTGAACAAAATTCTAATCTGCAAACTTCTAATCTGCAAAATTCTAATCTGCAAACTTTTAAAAAAATGTAAACTGTTGCACTCATCTTTATCAGCTGGTTTTGTCTCCCTAACAGGGAAAAGGACAGTTTTTCTTTCATTCCAGGCTTTCTCGGTGGATTATTCCACTTTGGAGAATAATCGATGTGGGAAATAACCGAGCCTTTAGCTGTGGGACGTGTCCCGGGTCATGAGCTCAAAGATCAATGTATCGATCTCATCTGGCCCGGCGCTGAGCGGATGAAACCGCCATCCTTAATTCATTTACTCGCCCTGCTGGGTGAAATGGATTCCTGCTAAGTGCAGAATGCTCCGCCAGCACACCAGCCCAGGAACTCAGGGGTCAAAGGTGAACTAGCGTGCTCTGTTACTGTTTGTCACAGTGTTTACAGCAGAGGTCTTGAGGAGGGAAGGATGTGAGTAGATTAGAGAAGAGGAGAGCTCTGTCCTGACCTGGAAAAACAGGATGTAAAAAAAAAAAACGGCATAGAAAAGGTGAGGCGGCTTGAGGTCTCGTTTATCTGGACCTTTTGCTTTTCAGAAGTTTAAATGATTTCAGTGATGATGAGAAGGATGGGAGGACACCTCTGCATCCAACATCCATACGACAAACAGATTGTAAAAATGATTGTATAAGTGTCACGCAGCTTTTGTTAAAAGGTAAAACAGCCGACAGCAGAAGTGTTTGATTGCAGAGGAACTAAAACCTCATCCTGCTTTCCTCTGGTGACGGAGGAAAAGGAAGCAGCGCTTCAAAAGGTTCAGAGCTGCAGATTTTACTGTAAGGAACACAGTAACGATGGATTGCGTCTTTAAAAGAGGATATGAATGGATTTCATATTAACTCAGGGCGTCTTTATCTCACACATACTTTCCATTAAAAACAGCATCTGAAGTTTGAGCTGCAGAACGTCAAACTTCACCTGCGGTTTTCATGAAATCACAGTTTAATGACTTATTTTAGATTTTACAATAGAATAGTTGGCTTACATGGTATTGATGTCACACAGTTCATCATTACTGACTGCATTTCCTGCGTCCACCAGAGGGTTCTGGACTGTTTTTGGATTAACAGATTAATAATTGGATAGCAAAAGGTGCTTGATAGATTTTTTGTACAGGATTTGAACCAGTGACGCTCATATTCGTTTCTTGTGGCTGCTGTAACAACTCAGAGATCTACTTTGATTTTTCAAAATAGATTTGACTGTTATGTTTCTCTTTAGGATTTTAACATTTTCCCCTGTTTCTTCTTGCTCTGAACTGCTGTAGTGTAGACCTGAGTGTCCGCTGTGTTCACCGCTCTTCACCCCCCGCCCCCCAACATCAGCTGACAACAAAGCAACAGACGAGGCTGTCGATAAGTCACGGCCAGCGCCAGTAAAGCTGCATCATGTTGACAGAGATCAATTCAGCAAATGCCAGCAGCAGACTGCCGGCCTTTATGGACCTTAATGTCGCCGTGACTCTCTCTGATCGCTGGCTGTGCTCACATTCATTCCTCTTTCTGTTGTTTTTCTAATCAGGTCCAAAAGTCCCAGCGAGAACACTCTGATACTTCACAGCTAAATGAGTGTTTGGCTGGAGTTCAGCTGACCACCTGGTCGCCTGTGTGTTTCTAATAGTCATTTACGGAAAACAAAAATCCCTGGCAGCGCAACAGAACCGGAACCGCAGAACAATGAGAGATCCGAGGCACGTCTCCTTATCAGCTCCCATCTTTGGAAATCCCAGTGAAGTGTGACTCTTCTTTACCTTTCAGCTGCTTCGAATTAGGAAGCGACTCTTATCTGGCTGCTACAGCTCCTTATCTGCTGATTTGCTGTGAGCAGCCGCACCGTGGGTTGGGCTGAACCCGTTGGAGTGAGGGATGCGTCCCAGTGGGTCTGCGGCGCTTCCAGATGGAGCGATGCAGCAGAGAGCAGAGTAATGGAGCTCTGACGGGAACAGAACTTCATGATGGGGGGAGATAAATACCCTCCATTCTGAGGTTTACAAAACCCCTATTTAAAAACCTAATAAACTTCACTGAACTAAATAGAAATACAACTAGAAAGAGTATTGTCATCTTTGTTGTTGTTGGATTTAAATCCAGTGTAGCTAATTTAATCAATTCAGAAAAGAAGAGCTTTGGAGAAGCCGAGGGCTGAAGTTTCAGAACCAGGTTCAGATTCCAGCCAGTGACATTTCAGAGCAAAATTCATTTCAAATTTCAACAGAGATGCATGAACTGTGTTGCCTTTTGTTTCTCAGATCTCAAACACTTCACTGTCCATTAGGTTGGTCCACTTGATCTTACCAAGTCTGCAGAACAAAAAGGAAGAAATTAGGCTCTCAAAGCTTTCAAATAAAGTTTGAGTCAACTTGAATTAAACGCTGTTTAATTTGAACCTTCGATGAGGTCATAACTCGGCTCAACAAGGGAAGATTTCACAACTTTTGACAGATATTTATTTGACATGAAATCAATTGTTTTCCCAGCAGAGGCACTGAATGACCAGCTGACCTTTGTACAGTCCAACACGCCGTCCGCAGGCGGTTCAGCCTGACGAGCGTAACGTGACAGAATCGGTTTACAGAGACGCGTCGCCCGCAGGTTTCAAATTATTTCTGATCTCCAGAAATCTCTTCTGAGCAGGATTGGACCAAAACGAGTAGAAAGCAGGGCAGAACTTCAGGTGCTGAGCGGACTCGGCCCCGCTGGCGCTGAAACACAACGCTCAGCCACTGACCCACTTTGCTGGTATTATGGATCCTATTAAAATGTCAACAGGCTGGTGCTGAAGTGAAGCGGCTCGCGTGCTTCAGCTGCCGTTCCTCTCTGATCCCAGCCGCTCCTCCCGTCTTTTTCCACATCGTTTGCTCATTTTTACTCATTTCTGCACACTGCAGTGTTTCTAATAGCCGACAAACAGGAGCTGACAAAACCCATCGCTGAATTAGAGGTTTAGTCTTTCCATTTCTTCATGCGAAGTTCTACTGAGATGTTGTGAGCAGTTTGTATCTTCTGTTTGGAGAATTTAATTGAGTCAGAAATTCAAAGAACCTGCTGCACGAAACTGAGCAAATATGTTTTCAAAGACTCTGTGCATTTATTTACACTTAGGAAAAATATGCATACATTTCTGTCACTTTCTGCATTATTTGCAAAGCTGCAGGTTTAAGGTTTGGGTGGTTTGTGTGAAACCACCTGTTAGTGCAGAGAAATGCTTCACCTTTCAGCCTCAGTCTGCGAGTTTAAATGTAAAATGTTCCTGGAAAATGAATTGATGCATTTTCTTCTTTTAAATGGTGATCAATTCACCATTTCAAACTGCTGCTGTTCTTGTTTCTGCTGCACCTGAATGAAAGGGATAAAACCAGCATGTGGTGTCAGATTACCAAATATGCCAAGATAATATAAAAAGAAATTTGGAGGCCAAATCCAAATTAGGTGGTAAAATTGATCAACAATTTAACAACAGAAATCCTTTAGCCTTTAGAGGAGGGGTTTCAAGTTCATAATGTGGCTCCTTAACCTGCAGGAATACTGGGGTTCAAAGGTCAAAAAGGGTCACATTCTGTAAAGTAATAGTATTGCTCTATCAAAGGTAATACTTCTGAATAAGGCCAACAGTAGGAAGTTGGTTCTGTTAGAATAATTATGTTTTGTTATCATTCTTACATTGGTAGTTATAATAGATTTATTATTCACATCCCTGAGAAAAGCTTTCATACTTGTTAGACCTTGGAGCTGCAGCCACTTGTATCTTCGGGATACTCCTATCTGCCTCCCTCCACA